TTACCACAAAGACTCAGACATCCCTCCTTCATTCAGACACTTAGAGGTTATTTCTTAATGTGAAGTAAAATCTTATTAAACAATACTATGAAGAAAATGTTAAACATTAATAATAATATTATGATGTGTAAATATACTGATAGATTAACATTAAACTCAACAATTACTAATCTGGTGTAATTTAAGCTCTAAAACAAATCATTATCAGAATAATATTCATGTTAACCCATCTTTCATTAATGTAGAGTATTGAACACATTTATCAAAACACTCTGGATTTAAACATATTGTCCATTAAACAAAATGATTATATAAAACTAAAAAAAATGTATAATAATTTCTGAACCAAGGAAGTGTAGCGTAACAAAAGGCCAAGTATTTCATCAAAAATGACTAGAAGTTCACCTTTAACTCTCAGGCCCAAACTATTTCTCCACACAGGTCAGTCTGACACCGTGGTGGCGATAGGACGAGATTAACTGGTCTGTCAGATCCTATCTGTCTGGTCTTCAAACCAGAAAAGCACTGCTCGACGACCTTGTTATCGAATAAGGGAGCCATAATAAATCCTTCTCTTGACTCTCTTCATCTTAGCTGGAAACCCAAGGTCTCATGCAGAAGACGAGACTTTACTCTCTGAATAAAGTCTATCTTGTCATAAATAACTCTAAAACTTTAAACTCCATATATTCTGGTGAATGCGTAATATGTTTAAATCCAAAGTGTTTAATAACGTGTGCATTAATCAATGATTGGTTAAAATTAATATTTTTCCTGTAATGATTAGTTTCAGATTTTAAACTACACCAGATCAGTATTTGTTGATTTCATGGTACTCTATCGATTTATTCATACATCATAAGATTAATACATTTTTGCTTCACATAACTGTTTTAACATTATCGCTTCACACTAAGAGTTAACCTCTAAGTATCTGAGTGAGGGAATTATTCTCTGAGGTCTTTGGTAACGCCCTTTAAACTTGCCAAATTCTGATTTGTCTAAATTTGTCAACAACGTTTAATAAACACAAGGATCACTTCCTGATCTACTCAGTTCTCCAGCCGCCTCCTGATTAGGCCAATCAGGTGAGAAAGCATTTGGAACCATTCTTTTTTTTGACCAAGGTCACAGTCGCTCTGCAACGCTTACGAGTGATATCAGACACAACAGCCTCAGAGGCAAAATAGATACACCAGCTTCCGGCTGTCACCTCGAGGGTATCTCAGACTAGACAGGTCATGCTCTGAGCTAGTGTTACTGGCACCAGAGGCCTTTGCCTCGTCTGTCTCCTGGTAACCAGCTGTTACCAATTACTGAAATCACTTGGCAGCTGTTAAAAGCTGCTTTCTTGCTCTAAGTCAATGAGAAGGTACAAGGGTAGAGTAGACTGGCAACAGTTTATTCTATTCTCTTCTCCTCGCTCGCTCTTTTGGTAAAACTCAGAATAGTTATTCTTCGGTGCTCTCGGTTTTTGGATTACGGATTTGGTTTTAGGATTTTGACCATTTGGCTTATAGACTTCGGACCGGTTTTGACCTCGATTTAGGATCTCCCCATATATATATATATATATATATATATATATATATATATATTTATATTCTCGGTTATTAAATTCCCACCCCCTTCTGGGGTGGCGTTTTTCGTTCTCTTTTTGTATATACTTTCGTTTTGTATATAGTATTGCTAGGACTCTTTGTGAATATTCCATTTTGTTTTTGTAATAAAATTCTTTGTATTTTAGCGACACAACACTCTGTTTATTATTTAATCCACACACTACTTTTATTACTCCCCTCCTCATCTCTCCTAGAGAGCCGGGGACGTAATAGCTTGACTATGGGTTACGTTGCCCAGAGGTTCACTACCAGCAGTGTCCATCCCGACCTCTTGACCTCCTGGATCGTACGGGGACCTTCAACACAAAACGGTGCGTAGACTCGGCACAAATGGCGTTGGATGGTTTTATGAATCATCTCTAGCTTATCAAACCATACAGCCAAACTGAATTTACAACCCAGACATCACAAGATTTCTCAGACACTTACCAGGTTTTGCTACAAACATCTAGCTTACATTCCACCACATCCATTATCTGTCATCCTCTACAATCATCATCTCATTCATACTTTGTTCCGTATAATCGTTAGTTTAGGAAAATAGAATTAAATTCATTTTTATAAACTACTTGACTCTGTCTGAATTAATATGAAGTGTGTGTTCCCTGAATAATCAAAGAACCTAAAGGTAATATTTATCAAATATTCAAAGACCAATCAGATTGATAATTCATATTCATATGGAATATCACATCTTATTGATCATTCAATAAATGTAGCTAATCCTCACCACCACAGAAGATAAACTTTATTCAAAGAGGATAGATAAGAAGTCCTGCGTCTTTTGCAGCCTTGATGACTTCTGATATACCACAGGGTAACTTAAAAATATCAGGGCAAGTTCATAGACTTCGTATCAGCACCAAGGTGTCAGGTTGATCTGTATGACGACGTTTGGCCTGTAAGTTAAAAGTGAACTTCTGGTCATTTTGATGAAATACTTGCAAAAATATACTTGTGCCTGCAGGGATAAAAACTTCTACCTCTTTAAATCTGTCATGACTAAAACTTTGTAGTGACCTCATGAGGAGGTCTTGGACATAATTTTTTCTCATTTAGCCATGCAGCACGCTGGTGTGTCTCTTGTTTTTCAGATCATCCCCTCCTTCTCCTTGTGTGGTTTTTGTAATCACACTCTTCTTGGAGGGCATCTCTGGGCGGCTGGCCACCTCACCCGCTCTCCAGCCCTTACAATCGCCCTGACACACTGAGCCGATATCTCCAAACGCACCCACACTCACTCACACAATTGCTGAGACATTCTTTTGAAACCATGCTAAACCTTTAGGCACAACAATACAAGCTGGACCTAATCTTATAACCCCCATCCAATCAGATGGCTGGAAACTTAAGAGAGGAATTGATTGGCTAGTGGCCAGAGGGGCCAGTAATGGGGAAGGAGAACAAGAGGAGACAACCATTGTTGATTGATTACCATGAAAGACACTTTTGTTGCTGACTTGAAGGCAGGACACTGTGCTTGTATCAAGAGGAAACGCTGCAGTCCTAAAATAGGTCAGAGCTGCCCTAATGTGTCTGCAAGATACTTTGAGATAGGGATGTGTGCACAGATAAAGCTCCCTTCAAGAAGGAGTAAGGTCCACTGATTATTAGCTGTGAGTATTATTGATTAGCTGTAGAGCAAAGGTCAAAAGAGCATCGTATAACCATAAGTGACTCAACTTTCTGGAGAACGAAAGCAGGGCCGGAGTGATGGAGACGGCGCAGGCCGAAGAATTAGCCAATAAATGTATTTTTATCAAAATCAAAACAGTTCAACCATGATGTCAGCGCTTCTCGGGGTGGCTCGAGGAGACCGCTGGCTCATCTTTCTACACCACGGATTACAAAGTGTCTCCAAGGGTTATTGTTTAAACTGGCAGTTTTTTGATTTCCAGAGAACTCGATCTGCGACACAAAACGGCAATAAGTCAACAGTTAGAGATGAAAGTCGAAGCATGCTTAGCAAAGGACAATCAGACCACTCCACTGATCTCAATCCTTTTGGACAGAAGTGAATGTGGTCAAGTTTTCACAAACCTTTGCAAATGTTTGGATAGTGTGGATTTTTGTCGATGTGATTGGCTTTCCTCACATTAAGCCAGGATTTTATCTGCATATGAGATTTCCTCTCATTGACTTTAACTTCATAGATTATCTGCATGAGCAGTAATTTTATCTCCCAAACCGGAAAAGAAAGAATACAAGCCCTGATTCTGATCTAACACATGTACAACATTCATACCTCCATTTTTTTATGAATCTTCTTGTTTTTTCTGCCACTTACAGACAACGATAATAATCCAAAACCACGTGATCGGTTGCCTCATGTCAGCTGTTTCCAGCTGTAAGGCGAGCCGTCTTGAAGGCTTAATGGTTATATTATGGGAAAATGTCAGCTTGCAACAACAAACATCCACTTTGGGAATGCTTGTTGGAGCCTGCGTGAGCCGTCCCTTCAGACGAGGAAACACATTAATGCATGAAGCAGATTTAATGCCAGATTCAAGAGCATCCTGGGCCATGGATCCCACATCTGGTTGAAAATATCACAGCTTTGTAGAGCTACATCCTATCCAGCTTTATTTATAAAGCACATAAAAAACACACTGTATAACAGAGGGGAAGACACATGAAAGCCTTAAACATGGGTAAAAGTAGCACAGTGAGCTAAAAATACTAAAATCAACAATCAAACCACCTATAAAATGGATAAAAGATAGGAAAACACACAAAACAGCCCTAAATTATAGAGAAAAACAACACAACAATGTGATAAAATGCTAAATTAGTAAATGTGCTTCAAAAACTGAAGGTTTGAGTTGACAGGTCAGCCTGTGTCCGACTCGCAGCCAACAGACAAGTTTGGATATCTCCAGAACCACCTGTAGCTGCACAACCAGCTCTCTGTAACCACCTCACTCCCGCCTCGCTCATCCGTCCTGATTTTTTTTTCTGCACGTACAGTTGTGCTTGCAAACGAGTGTGTTTCTGTGCCAGCAGAAGCTTGCTGCCAGCTTTTATTCAGTAAATGAAGAGAGCAGATCCAAATGCCAAGCCGGCACCCTTTGTTACTTTCACATGGAAATAAATGGAAGTTGGTTGGAGCATCTGCTCAAAAATGCTTTGCATTTCTCTGAATGGATTAAAAATACCTTTTGTGGACTTTTTTTCTAAATTCTTTTACTAACTTGATTTAAAAAGAGGTTTTGATTGGAATAAGGAGCAGAGGGAGTGTCCTGCAGGCCAGTGGCAGCCTCCCTCTGTAGCTGTGATTGGTTGAGGTTGTAGTGAGTGAGTCCAGGGGAGGCCAGTAGGAAGATGAATGGTCTAGGAGCATTTTAGGGAAGGGGGGGAGCAGGCAGCTGAGGAAAGCAGCTACCACTGGCTCTTAAAGTCTAGGTACTCCTCTTTACAGCTCCAGAGTGACAGAGGGAAAGGGTGAACTGGAGACAGCCTGAAGAGAGGGTGAAGTCAGGAGAGTGGTAGCAAAAAAAGAGGTCCTGTTTGTGTGCTCATCTGCTGTGTCCTCATTCCACTACCTGAGGAACACACACAAACACAGAGAGGTGTTTCAGGAAGCTTAGAGGGCCGACTCTCCGGGGAGGAAGGGAATTAAACTGTTTTGTTTTGATTTTACCTTGACTATCCTCAGGAGAAAGCAGAAGGGATTACGGCGTGCACTCCTGCCCCACTTGTTCACATCTTCTCTGAGCTTTTTTTGTCTTCTCTGGGTTACTTTGGGGAATTCTGGATACTTCTTGATTTGTTGGTGTAAACCCAGAAAGGCATGGCGCTCGGACAAAAGAGCCCCCGGCTGGCTTTGACCCAGGGATTCTTCAGCTTGGCACTTGGCCTGTTGCTCTTCTCCCTCCTCCTCTTTACCATCGTGGATGCGGACGAGTATGACTACTACAACTGGCAGGCAGACAACTTCCACAATGGCCGTTTTTACACAAAGCAACCCCAGTGTGTGGACATACCAGCTGACCTGCGTCTGTGTCACAACGTAGGTTACAAGAAGATGAGGCTGCCCAACCTCCTGGACCACGAGACCATGCCAGAGGTCAAGCAGCAGGCGAGCAGCTGGGTGCCCCTTCTAGCCAAAAGGTGCCACGCTGACACGCAGGTCTTCCTGTGTTCTCTCTTTGCACCTGTATGTCTGGACAGGCCCATCTACCCGTGCCGCTCCTTGTGCGAGGCCGTCAGGGACAGCTGCGCTCCAGTAATGGAAACCTACGGCTTCCCCTGGCCTGAGATGCTGAACTGTGACAAGTTCCCCATCGACAACGACCTCTGCATCCCCATGCAGTTCGCTGCAAACCACGTAACCCAGCCACCAGGTAGGGCACCAATGTGCATGCCCACACACAAAAGGGCGCAACATTTTATCGTGAATGATTGGTTATTGTGAAATTTTCTGCTTAAACTGAAGGGAATTTGGTGATCACCTAATGAACCCTGAAGCCACATCAGTTGCAGTTCTTAAACCCATCACGACACACAAACCCACAAAAAAACAAGTCGATTTGTGGTTTATTTCCTCACTGAACCTTCAGGAATGTGACACATCTCATCAGCCGCATTACCAAACCATCAGACTGGGACCCTGCATGAGTCAAACTAATGAAAAAAACCTGTCTCACACTCTGAAAGTTTCACTGAGAAACTCTCAGGCTGCTTGTGTGAGCTCAGGGAGAGGGAGAAAAGAACAGGAAAGAGGCTGGAAGGGAAAGTTCGTGAGTAATGGACGGTTTGGGATGCCCTGGGGAGAGATGGAAACGGGAGACGCTGAGACTCCAGGGGTTAGCTCGCTGACTGTGTCAAGATAAATGTGCTGTGATGACACGCTTGCATGCATGCTCGTCTTAATCAACAGACATCCATCTACGCTTAATCAATCAGCCGAATGAGCGAATGAATGGAAATCTGAGCCACTTCCAAACTGCAGGTTAATACCTGAAAACTTGATTTTTACATTTAGGCAAAAGGACAGTGTGTGTGTGTGTGTGTGTGTGTGTGTGTGTGTGTGTGTGTGTGTGTGTGTGTGTGTGTGTGTGTGTGTGTGTGTGTGTGTGTGTGTGTGTGTGTGTGTATGGAGCTAAAACCACCTAATCAGCCTCTTCACAAAAGCAGCGTGAGCTGAAAGAGAATCGATGAGAGCCTTTAGAGGACAGTCCCCGCTGTGTCCCACTCCGCTCTGCTTTTGTTGGGTCTGGCAGACGGTTGGGGCCAATTAACTAGACGGCCAATTACTGAGCTCCGATAATTAGTCGACACGATGGAACAAGAGAAGTGGGCAGAGAACGGTGATCGCTGAAGTATGGTTGTTCCTGTGAGAGACTGGTGGGGTGAAAGAAGAGGGAAGCAGAGAAGAAATTCTCCTGGAGTTTTTTAAGAGTTTTAAAAAAGCTTTTTTATTCTGCACTGCACTGCACTTGTTTGTTATCATGTGACGTCTTTTAATCGCCAACTTTTAATTCATTAAAGTCTGATAATACTGTTGGAGGATTCTCAGATGATTTAATGCATTTCTAACTTTTTTTTTCCGTTAGAGAAAACTGGATGTTCTGTTTTTGTAGGACTGATATCAACTATGTGACATTTTGGCTCAGCACAGTCATCATTCAATCTTTTACATGTTCTCCAAGAAGGCAGCTTGAGCCTCATAAGCCATCTCCTAAAACCGGCATCCATTTGTTCATCCCGTCTAATCAAATCCTCATCAGAATCTGGGCTATTAAGTGGTGGGAAATCCTCCAGGATATGTAGGATTTTTTTTATTTAGTTTAAGGTTTCCAAGGAATTCAGATTTTTTTTATTTTCAGAAATGACTAAAATAATCAGAGTTGTAAAAACAAACTCTGATTATATTTAATGAATGTCTTTTTTTTTTTTTACTCTTGTGTGCCTGTGTGTGTATCTGCATGCAACTGATAGTGAACTTGTATCACTTCTAGCCTGAAGGAAAAGTCATTGACGTTTTGTAAGGAACCAGTCTCAGATGTACCGATGAGGCCATCCCGAGGACAATTTCTTGGCTCTAACACACACACACACACACACACACACACACACACACACACACACACACACACACACACACACACACACGCGCGCACGCGCACGCACACACACACACACACACACACACACACACACACACACACACACAATGAGAGAGAACGCCAGCGATAATAAAAAAGGAATTTCAGCTAAGAACTCGTAGAAGTGAGCTTTCCGAGAATTGTGCGTGTCATTGGGGGACATGGGAGGATAATAAAAATGAATCTTAAGGTAATCCACCAAAATCTCAAGGAGCCGGGTCAATCTCAGATATTAGGCTCTACCTTCTACTCTCTCGATACTGGAGGCCCAAACGTTTTCCGAGCTATTCTGCAATTGCACGATAGAGAACATCTCGAGGGTTCCTGTGGAAACTAACAGGATGGAGTTAGATTCACTTCCCACTTTTGTGAAACTGCAAAAAAAATACTCAAAGACCACCTGAGGTATTTCTGGACGTTTTCATGCAATGGTGTTTATTTTTGGGCGTGTGTCAGGAGCCCGCAGGGTGTGATTATGTGAAACACAAGTCTGTCTGTTATATCAGACAAAAGAGATCCCATGCAGGAGCAGATGATGCTCCTTCTACTTTCTGCATCTGTAAATCAGTAAGATAACCACTAGATGTATTCCTGCATAAACTGTTACGTGGTTGTTAGCATTCCAGCTGAATACACCAGTAAAAGTCATGTAATGTAAGATATCGCCTCTCAGCGCTGTTCTCTCTTTGATGTGGCCACTTTAAGTTACAACCATGTTAAAAGAGACAGGCAGCACTGACAGGCATCCAGCAGCACAATGGACCCTACTCATGTGGCCCTGGCTGCTATATTAAAAGGAAAATGTGATCCAATGCTCTGTGCACGGAAGAGTGCCGAGACCCTTTCAGAATGCACTCGATTTTCTGTTGAGGATCCCTTCAGATGCAAGGAGTGTGCTTTGTTTTAGGGTCCCCCGGGGGGCTGCCTCTAGGCCATGTTTAATCTCTCTCCTGTCTGTCTGCATGCCACATTTAAACAGATGTGAGGCCCTCGGATGTAAATCACACACCGTATTTCATCCGCTGCGCAGAACCGTTTTATGTTGTAAGCTTTCCTGCTCGTAACTTAAAGGGCCCAAATGAGGCATCGGACGGTGACCCATGCATACTTTAAAAGAAACGTTCTTCCCACAAATGTCTCTGTGGCGCTCAGACTGCAATACAAGAGGCGTAATACATTTCGGGAATAAACTTATTGTTAGATCTGAGGGTGGTGGTGTTTCGGTGCCTAAAATGGCAGAAATTAGAACACAAAGCGTGTAACTTTTGCACATAATGTAATTAAAAGCTTCAAAACTGTTTTCACGTAAACTCGTCAAGTTTTTGGAAACACTAAAAGTGATTTACGACATCCTGTCAACTGTTTGTCTGCAGTGAATGGAAGAGATTTGTCAAAGTCGTGTAATGACAAACAGGAGTTTCTTATGAATGGGAAAGGCATTTCTGCACTTGTAGCCACTTTGTTTTGCTCATAATTTATGTTTTTGTTTTTACAAAATGGAGATTTTGGAAAAATAAATGTAAGTAATTTTGCTGCATCAGTTTCTGACATCAAAGTGACCATGTGTATTTCTCTGTGGTCGTAGTCAACAAACATGCTCTCGCACTGGTGCACATGTTTTTATTCTAAAGTGAATTTGCAAAGAGACCTTTCGCATTTTTGTGCTCAACATCAAAAGTGAAAAAAAATGACGTTAATATGTTTTTGTTTAAGATTTTTTGAGAGATACGACAGACATGAAAAACAGCTGAAACGAGAGACACAAATAGAGAAAGTGATATTATCCCTCCAGCAATGGCTAAGTGAGGCTTTGCCGTAAAAAATAAAAACCTGGACTCTTGCCGCTCACCATTTCCACTTTGGCTCACTGTTTGAAGATTAACAGCAGGGCTTTCCAACAGAGCACCTCCCTGCTCATATGGCTCCCTTCATCCTTTGACTGGTGATGAGGACAGTCGTAGCTTAAGTGATTTTTCAGCAGCATCTAGATGGCGGTTTTCAGCCTGAGCTCAACTAAATTTCATGGAGGCACTGTTTTGTCCTGACATCTCCTGGCATTGATACTTCCGGGCCTCCTGCCAACATACCACCCCAGTGAAACCAAAATGAATCACCACAGAGGCTAAATAAGACACAACAACCTCATGAGAGTCATTCAAAACACTCACAGAGGTGTGTGAGGGTCTGTTTTTACGCTACTGCACCATAAAATAGGGGTTTTGCCATGCCCCCCACGCCCCCGATTTGACACTTTGTCACTTTTTAGCTAACTGAATCATTTCTGGGTCGCAGCAACGTTAGTGTTGTCTGTGGTGCTGCTGATAAGGATTACCAGTGTGGTGTACACGGCATAATCCAGGCCTTGTCTAAGATGCAAAGATCAAACTCCAAACCACCTAAATTCAGAAATGTATGTAAACAAGCTTGTTTGCGTTACAAAACAATGCATGCAAGCTTATCACAGTGAGAAAGCAAGACTAACAACATTAGAAGAGAGTTATTTCAGAAACAAAAAAAACTCCAATGCTGTTAACCTCTCACTCTGCCAATGTTGTTAGCTTTGCTAGAGCTAGCTTTGGCTAGCAAAGACCTAGCATGTATCATCACCTTAAAATCCAAAGCAGAGGCTTAACATACAATCGTAATGAATATAAGTGGACCCATACAATTTAAAACATCCGTCTTTGATTTTGACGACTAACCCCTCATTTCCAACGGACACGTATGCAAAATGGCTGCGAAGCATACTTTTCAGCAGTTAGCTGCCGATAAAGTGGACGGGTGTCTTTCCATCGAAGAAGAAACTAAAATTATTTAAAAAAATCATAAAAACAAGAAAAGTAAAAAATAGATTTGGAAAAAGGAAGGAAAAGAAATGAGAACAAATGAGAAAGAGGTAATTATTGCATCTTGTGGAGTAAAGCTGTGGAACAGTTTTAGTGCAGATATGAAGCAATGTCCAAGCATGAGGCAATTTAAAAAGCAGTTTAAGGATTTGGTTTTTGCAGAGTACAAGGAGGTTGAGAATTGATGATCTTGTACAATATTTTCATTGACATAATTGTGCACGGGTATGTTGCGGTGGGTATCTCCATGTTCTTAAAAATATACATGTCATATATACTGAAACTATAAGGAGGAATATTTGTAGGCTATTGACTGTTAGAGTGGAAAGGGGGTGGGATTAAATAAGCTTAAACTTCTTCCTGCTCCTTTTTGAACATTACATGTAGTGT